CCGCATATGTATCAATCACGCTTTCGTATTTCCTGTCTTTTTGATGCTTTGACATCCTGGGATCTTGCCAACGTGGAAGGAACTGTCCTTCCCAAGTCTGGTCAGTTCCTATGGGTAGTAAACGACCCACCTGCAAGGGCGCCTTTCGTGTGCATGACAACCTATCCAGAGCCCCCACCCCAGCCTCCTCCCCTGTCTGCTTTTACGTTCCAGGCCACTGTCACCCTGCCTGAATACTGAGGGCCAGGTACCAGACAAACAGGGACAGGACCTCTATGCCCCAGAGCCCACTGGAATTACTCAAACTAGCCAATCCTAAAGCTGTTTATCCTGCCGTGCCCGGTACCTCCTGTGGAAACCACAATAAAGGCTCTTGCTCACGTTCCCCCTGACCTCCCACCCTACCTCAGCCCCCACCTCCTGACCAACCCTGGGGTCCCTCTATGTGGCCCTCTATGACATGCCAAGCCGCCTGTTTCCAGGGATCTGTATGTCCTTACACATCATGGTCATTTCCACATCTGCACTCCTTAGCATACCTGATTAAGACAAATCCCAGGGACCCTGGATACAGCTCTCTGCCTCATCCACTCGCACCTGACCACGGGATTGATCCCAGCCCAGGACAAACCTCTTAAATATTTCCTTTACTGGGGCACCTGCCTGGGTGGCTTAGTTGGTTAAGCATTAGACTCTTGATTTCGGCTCAGTCATGATCTCAGGGCTCATGGGATTGAGCCCCGAGTCGGGCTCCATGCTGATAGCATGGAACCTGCTTGGAATCCTCCCCCACCCCTCTCTCTCTTTCTCTTGCTGTCAAAATAACCATACATCTTTAAAAAATATTTTCTTGACCAAACTCATCAGCTACTATAGACACTGTAACAAGACAGGGTGCAGGGAGAAGCCCGCAGGAAAATCAAGTCCGCTGCAGGTCCCCGGAGGCCCCAGGCAGCGCACCTGCAATCATGCAGCTTGTTTGAAGAAGGCAGCTTGCCCGGCAAAACCAGCTGGTCCATGCCCGGAGCCCTGAGGATCAGGCGGTCGCCCTCATAGGTGATGGACACCAGCACCAGGCGAGGCTCCTGCCGGGCGGTGACCATGTGCCCATCTTCCTTAATCACCAGCCAAAACCTGCCAAGGAACAGACGAGAACACACTCAGAAAAGCCTCTTCCCCCTTCTCAGTGGTTTCCATCTAGCTTTCTATTTCACCAAAACCCTCCCCCTGCCCGCACTCAGGATCCAACCATCTTTTCCCAGACAATTATCCAGACCTGGCCAAATTCTTTGGGTCCAAAACATGGTGCCCCCAAAAGGAGCTTCTTTACAAGAAACAGCCCTGGGAGAGAACATGTGCCCAATGCGTGAAAATCCCCAGTTCTTGGGGCACTTTGGTGGCTCAGTCCAACTTTGGCTCAGATCATGATCTCGTGGTTCATGAGTTCGAACCCCACATCAGGCTTGTTGCACTGAAGCTATTGTCAGCATGGAGCCCACTTCAGATCCCCTGTCCCCTCTTTCTGCCCCTCCCCTGCTTGTGCACTCACATCGTCTCTCTCTCTCTTTCTCTCCGAAAAATAAACATCAAAAAAATAAATAAATAAAAAGGGGCACCTGGGTGACTCAGTCAGTTAAGCGTTCAACTTTTGGCTCAGGCCATGATCTCACGGTTTGTGGCTTTGAGCCCCACATCGGGCTCTGTACTGAACAGCTCAGTACCTGGAGCCTGCTTTGGATTCTGTGTCTCCCTCTCTCTCTGTCCCTCCCCTGCTGGCACTCTGTCTCTGTCTCCCAAAAATAAATTTAAAAATGTTAAAAAAAATTTTTTTTTGAAGAAAAGAAAGTCCCCAGTTCCAAAAACCCAGAAAATGAAGCTGATTTAGGGACCTTCCCTTCACCGCTTAAGTAATTATGGTGCTCAGTTTGGGGCTTTGCTTTGGTCAGAAACTTCCCTGTGTCTGTTCAACACTCCTCCGAGCCCCTGGTCGAAGCGAAATGTCTTCTAGGTCTTTTCGCTGTGGAACCAGATGGGGCCAAAACTGCTGGCCCAAGTCATCTAGAACCCTAGACAGATTCTTGTTATGTCCGTGATTCTGAAGGATGCAAACGGGCCTCCGCTCTGTTTAACCTCCCATGGCCCGCAGATCTGTCGTCAGGAGACCCCCAATTAGCCTTTCTTCCTTGTGCGCATGTTCTGATTCAGAGAATGAAAATTCTCACAAACCACAAGTTAGATCAGAACTCGACTCATCTCTAGAGAGCTGCTATTCCGGCCTCGGTTTTCACACTACATCCTATCTGGGGTGGGGGTGGGGGGGATGGGTAAGCTGGAAAGGGGAAGGGAGGCTGGTCCGGGGAGGTCGCCTATGCTTTGATCTCCAGCAGAGTGCATGTTTTGGGTTATTCCACACACACTCTTTGATTACTAAAAAAAAAAAAAAAGAAAAAAATTTAAAAAGCGTTCTGCCCTCTAGAGAGTAAGTTTCAATATCCTTTTTTTTCAACATTTTTAAATGTTTACTTGTTTTGAGAGAGAGAGAAACAGAGTGTGAGCTGGGGAGGGGCAGA